AAGAAATTAGCTGGACAACTAAAAATATATAGAAAAAATTAGCCGGGCATGGTGGTGCATGGGCCTGTAGTCCCAGCTACTCGGGAGGCTGAGGCAGGAGCATCGCTTGAGCCCAGGAGTTTGAGGTTGCTATGAGCTAGGCGGACGCCACGGCACTCACTCTAGCCTGGGCAACAGAGTGAGTCTCTGCCTCAAAAAGAAAGAAGGGCCAGGCATGGAGGCTCACGCCTGTAATCCCAGCACTCTGGGAGGCTGAGGCAGGAGGATCGCTAGAGGTCAGGAGTTCGAGACCAGCCTGAGCAAGAGCGAGACCCCGTCTCTACTATGAATAGAAAGAAATTAATTGGCCAACTAATATATATAGAAAAAATGAGCCGGGCGTGGTGGCGCATGCCTGTAGTCCCAGCTACTCGGGAGGCTGAGGCAGGAGGATGCTTGAGCCCAGGAGTCTGAGGTTGCTGTGAGTGAAGCTGACGCCACAAGGAGTGCCGTGGCATCAGCCTCGCTCACAGCAACCTCAGACTCCTGGGCTCAAGCGATCCTCCTGCCTCAGCCTCCCGAGTAGCTGGGACTACAGGCATCCGCCACCATGCCCGGCTCATTTTTTCTATGTATTTTAGTTGGCCAATTAATTTATTTTCTATTTTTAGTAGAGACGGGGTCTCGCTCTTGCTCAGGCTGGTTTCGAACTCCGGACCTCGAGCGATCTGCCCGCCTCGGCCTCCCAGAGTGCTGGGATGACAGGTGTGAGCCACCGCGCCTGGCCAGCAAAAAAGGGTTTTTGCCCAGAGTTTTTCCCTGACGGGTCCTCGAACTTCCCTGTGTGGCCCTGCGTGATGGAATGCCCCCCACACACACTCTTGGAAGCTGTAAAACACAAACCACCTTTTCAGCACCAATCATTTCCTGATCGGCCGGCCTCGCCGCACATGAATAAAACCAAAATCCCAGGCCCGAAGAGTGTTGGGGACTTCCAAGACAGAAGTAGCAATGGTAGCACCACCACAACCAAACGGCTGCGACCCCCAGAGCGGGAGAAAATGTTTACAAATCACATATCTGACTAGGTACCCGCGCCCGAAATAGACGAAGAACTCTTACAACTTGATAATAAAAAAGACGGCCCAATTTAAAAACGGGCAAAGGATCCAAGAGACATTTCTCCAAAGCAGACAGACGAATGACAAGTGTGAAAACATGCCTGACTCCGTTAGCCTTCAGGAAATGCGAGTCAAAACCATAATGATAATCCCAGCACTCTGGGAGGCCAAGGCGGGCAGATCACTCGAGGTCAGGAGTTCGAAACCAGCCTGAGCAAGAGCGAGACCCCGTCTCTTCTATAAATAGAAAAGAAATTGATTGGCCAACTAATATATAGAGGAAAAAATTAGCCAGGCATGGTGGCACACGCCTGTAGTCCCAGCTACTCGGGAGGCTGAGGCAGGAGGATTGCTTGAGCCCAGGAATTTGAGGTTGCTGTGAGCGAGGCTGACGCCATGGCACTCACTCTAGCCCGGGCAACAGAGTGAGACTGTCTCAAAAAAAAAAAAAAAAAAAGCCATAGCCACATGTGGTGGCGTGTGCCTGTACTACACCCTAGACAACTGAGCAAGACCCTGTCTCTAAAAAACTAAACCTTGTTAAAACTATTTAAGTTTTAAATTTTAGTTTAAGTTTTAAAATTTAGTTTAAGTTTTAAAATAAACTCCACTAAAATAAAATGAAGCGGGGTTGCAAGGAGCTGTCCTTAGTCCTGAAGTGGGCGTGTTTCCATGCACTTACTATAGTCTGTTATTTTCTCATTTACTTATTGGGCCATGGTTACCAACTGCCTGTCTTCCCACCCAAAGGGAGGTTCCGGAAGGTCAAAGGCTTTTCTGTCTTGTTGGCTACTGTGTTCCCAGTACCTAGTTCAGGATGGGCACATAGTAGGCATTCCGTAAATATTTCCCGGACCAATTAATTCATTACTAAGGTCATCTCTGCCTAATCCAACTGAAAGGTGCCCCTACATTGCCCGAAGAAACAAAGTCATCAGCTTGTCGCTGAGGACCTACTGTGTGTGGCCTCGTTCCTCATCTCCCCACATAGACAGTAAGCTCCACGGAACTGCGGCTGCCTGTGGCTCGCGGCCGCATCCTCAGCAGTTAGCCCGGTGCCAGGCACACAGTAGGTACGCAATGAATATTTGATGAACCAATGAGCCAGGGCCATGCTTTTGCTTTATTTAGTCACTCAGCCGATATTCTCTGGGCACCCACTGTGTTCCAGGCCATGCCGCATCTATCTACCCCCAATGCATCTCTCGAGGAGTCACAAGTTATCGTCTTTGTCTGACAAACGAGGAAACTGAGGCTCAGAAACTGGGGGCGGGGGAGACACTGTCCAAAGACCACGCACTCTTTGTAAAAGAATGAAAAAAAAACACCTAACATGTACTGAGCCCCTACTATGTGTAGATGGGGGTCTCACTATGTTGCCCAGACCGGTCTTTTTTTTTTTTTATGTTTACTCCTATAATATCTTAATTCATTCCACTATATTAATTAGAAGATGAAAAGTTAGCATCTCATTCTTATATCAGCTAGCAGGCTCACAACTAAGCAGGGTATTTTCATTCCATCAAGCTGTTGAACATAGAATCAGAAAGAAGAGAAATACAATTCCTTTTCCAAGCTCTCTTAAACTGAGATCTGCTTTTGATACTGTAAAATACTTCTATTCAAAACAACTCAGCAATAGACTTTTCATGAGATAACAATTAAGTAGCCTCAAGACCTCAAGCAATCCTCCCGCCTCAGCCTCTCAAGGTGCTGGGATTACAGGCACGGGCCCGGCGCCAGGCCCTAGGGGAGTTCTAACTCGCTTCCTTGCAGAACTTGGGGCCCTTCCCCGCGGCCCCGCCCCGAGGGCCCAGCCCCACCTTGGCCAGCAGCAGCACGTCGATGAAGTCCAGCGTCTTGCCCTGCTTGGCCTTGAGCCAGGCCTCGGCGCCCTGCTGCCGCAGCGCCCGCCGCCGCTCGCGGATGACCTGGTCGGTGAAGCGGTGCACCGTGTCGCAGGCCCGCCGGAACCGCCGCCCGTCCGCCGTGCGGTAGTACACGAAGTCCAGGTACTGGTGCAGGCGGTACTGGCGCTTGACAGCCAGCGCGCTCAGCTCCATGATGGCCGAGATGTAGTCGCTCATGCTCCTGCCCCGGAGAGGCCAGGCCCTGAGCGGGCCGCCCCAGCCCAGCCCAGACAGCCCCCCACACCCCACACTCCCACCCCTCCGTACCCACATCCCCCCACACAC